ACAGATCAGGTCATGATCCCAGGATCCTGGGACTGAGCCCTGCATTGGGCTCCACGCTGAACATAGAGTCTGCTTAAGATTCTCTCTCTTGTGCACTCTCTCTCTCTCTCTCTCTCTCACTCTGCCCCCTTCCCCACTTGCACTCTCTAAAATAAAAAAAAAAATTTAAAGGTGCTCAAATTTGGTTTAATTCATTTGACAAATATTTGAATGCCTACCATTTGGTACAGTTTTGTCATGTATAGTCAGACAAAAATTGGCTAACTACAGATCATACAAATGATGACTGTGTTGTGAAGGAGGTGGCAGATGGCCACAAACTGGTACTAGGCCATTATGGCCTGGAGGAAAAAGTCCAAATACCCAAACACTGTACAAGAAATACATCTGAGTGATGCAACCTGCATGGGTGATGGCTTTGTTCTCTGTATGGATGTTCACCAGCATTACTGGAACCATGGTGGAATTGAAACAAGTATCGAAAAAGACAAGTGGAAGAGAATGAACCACATGGGCATGTGGAGGTCCTAATCAGAGCTGATGGCCAGAATGATAAGTAGGTTCCCAAGCATGGTGACCAGGTATATGGACAAGAACAGCCCAAAGAGTAGAGTCCCAAGGAGAGAATTCTGAGACACCTGTTTGGTTTCCTGCATCCATATAGCTGATAATTCTGCCAGGAAACAGGCAAACCAATGCTAATTAAAACAAACAAATGGGGGGGCTCCTGGGTGGCTCCATTGGTTAAGCGTCCGACTTTGGCTCAGGTCATGATCTCATGGTTCGTGGGTTCGAGCCCCACGTTGGAATCTGTACTGACAGCTCAGAGCCTGGAGCCTTCCTCATATTCTGTGTGTCTCTCTCTGCTCCGCCCACCCTTGTGCTCTGTCTCTGTCTCTCAAAAATGAATTAAAAAGTCAACAAAAATGAAAAAAAAAAAGGAAGGGTGTCTGGCTGACTCAGTTGGTAGAGCATGCAACTCTTGGTCTCTGGTCATCATTCAAGCCCCACGTTGGGCATGGAGCCTACTTAACAACAACAACAGCTGCTTTTCTGAATAGGAGCCCTCAGATATAAAAATATTTTTATGATATGAATACCCAAAGAAAAACAAAATTATACATTTTCACTAGCAATCTGATATTCCTCCATCAAAAAAAAAGGATTACAGATGCCATTTTCTTGTACAGTTATCATTACGGGGGGTAATCTATTCCTCCTTATGATCTTTATCACAAAGTAGCCATGCCTTCAGATCTATCTCAATGGACCATCACCCTCTGGGATGTCCAATTCAGAATCAGTCCATTTGAAATATAGAACATCAGTGGTTTGAACATCCTTCCTTCTTTTGGGCTGAAATTTGCCTCTTGGATAATTCTGCTTTCCCCCACATTTCTTTCATATTGTAGCCGATATGTGGGTGTTGGTGGGCCACTTTGCTCTGTGGCCCTGTGATCCAATGGCTAATTGGATCAGAGAGTGGTGTCTGTTCCAACCTGGCTAAATAGTTTCTCTCCTGGAAATTTGGAAATGAACGTCAGATTCTGGTTAATAATCTGAGGGGATAGAGTTGATGAGATACAGAAACCATTAAATTTATAAATACAATAAGCATGTTTGCTCTCATAATCATCATTATTTCATCCACTCCAGAGTCTGAAGTACCCTTCAAAGCCACAAATCTAAAATCTCTAGGGATTTTTAACTAGGCTCTCTTGGCCATTACTGTCCTTGTTCCTGGAGTTACTGCTAGCAAAAACTCTCTATGCACATGTTAGACACTCCTCTTTCCAAAAGCATTTACTAAGTCCAAATGGATCACCCAGACTATAGTGGGAAAGAAGAACATGGTTGTACTGATGGATGGTACACTCCAAAAATAGGGTTTATTATGGAATCCAAGCCAACCTGGGGTCAGCAGGACAACAATATTATTCTTATTGTCCTGGTCAGTGAGTGGAAAGCAAAGGGGCAGACAAACAACATTTACCCTCTCAGGGACATCCAAGGTTGAAATCTTAAAACTCCTAATTAAATAAATGTTCCTTTTCTTTTTTTTCTTCTTTTTCTTTTTCCTTCCTTCCTTCCTTCCTTCCTTCCTTCCTTCCTTCCTCCCTCCCTCCCTCCCTCCCCCTTTCTTTCTTTCTTTCTTTCTTTCTTTCTTTCTTTCTTTCTTTCTTTCTTTCTTTCAAGATTTTATTTTTAAACTATCTCTAGATCCAATGTGGGGCAGGAACACATAACTCCAAGACCAAGAGTCTCACACTCCAGCAACTGAGCCAGCCAGGCTCCCCTTATTACTTTATTTCTAAACAGTGTAGCTAGTTGGGAGAGAGAATGATAATATAATGGAAAATGTGCTTGACAATTCTATTCCAATGTGGAGAATTTGAAGGTGATCATGTTTTTCTTCACAGTGGAAACTCTTCTCTTCTTAGGTAAGATCTCATAGTTCAGGATTCCTTCTAAAAAATATCCCATTGGAGTCTGAGCTACATGTTCCTTGCCAATCAGAATACTTAAATAGCAATTGTAAAAGGCCTGCTAATTGTCTGGTGGCTCCCTAAGTCAAAGACGTGGCCTATCAGTATGAATATAAAAACACGTAACAGTATCAATAAAGCTTACTAACAAAGCCAACAGTAAACACCATAGTCTTTATAACTATTAGCTCATTTAATATGTACAGCACCCCTGACATTTGTTATCATTATTTTAGAGATGACTGACAGAAGTACAGAGAAGCTGACCAATCTGGTGTAGATGGCATGGCTGGGATTAGACCAGATACTTGACCTCAGAATAGGGGGAAAACTGTGGTTTGAGAATTTTAGAAAGTGCCTTTAGAAGTCAGTGGGAAAGGAAAGAGTATTATAAACTGTTGGAACAAATTTGTTTTTCATAGGGAAAGAAGAGATCTCTATATCCTACTGAACAGAAATACATCATAGGTGGAGTAAATTTTAAATTTTTAAAATGAAAATATATATTTGAGGGGTGCCTGGGTGGTTCGGTCAGTTGAGCATCTGACTCTTGATTTCAGTTCAGATCATGATCACGAGGTTCATGGGATTGAGCCCCCTGTTGGGCTCCATGCTGACAGCATGGAGACAGCTTGGGATTCTCTCTCTCCCTCTCTCTCTCTGTGTCCCTCCTCTGTTCGTACTCTCTTTCTCACAAAACAAACATTTTTAAAAAGAAAATACATATTTGAACTATTATAAAGAACTGTTGAAAAATATATTTGTTACACTACATAGACAAAAATTTTAACATGATGCAAAATCACAGCCCATATCATGCCATATCAGAGATATCACATATCAAACTGGAAGGAGATTATGAATTATGACACTAACAGAATGGAATTTTATGTTAAAAACCCTATTCCAATTACCATTTTTAAATGTGTATTCATCTGAGAGAGAGAGAGAAAGAGAGAGTGCACACAAGTGTGGGAGGCGGGGGTGGGGGTGGGGCAGAGGATCCAAAGAGGGTTCTGTGCTGACAGCGGAGAGCCCAATGTGGGGCTTGAACTCAACGACTGCAAGATCATGACCTGAGTCAAAGTCGGTCGCTCAACCAACTGAGCCATTTAGGTGCCCCTCAAATTACCACTTTGGGAACTAGACTCAATATTCTTAAGTGGTCCAGTTAGACAATATGATACCTCCACAGTCCTACAAGTGGACAGTGGTAGTCTTATTTTAAAATATACAGGATTTCTACTTCAGAGGAACTTATCTCCCATTGAAAGAGCATTTCTGGCACAATAATAAATGAATTCTCCTCTTTCAAGGATGCAGGCCATGTATAGATTAACATATGTTTCTGTATGTGTATATACATGTGTGTGTGCGTATAAGTATTAATGTAAAATTGAATTAAAGCTCTCAAAAGAAAGTGGAAAGATTGCAAAGGAATGAAAAAGGAGATCTCAGACTTACTCTTAGCATAACAGTAAAAATCATCAGAGTAGGTAAACTCTCAAATTTGGATTTCCAGCCTTGGGATACATAACAATCAGAGTAAATTAGGCTATGCCGATGTTGACACAGCAACAGTATGTAATAGAACTAAAATGTTACTGATTTAACCAAACAAAAGCTTATTTCCTGTTCATGAAAAGTATCTACCAACTTGGGCAACAATCCAGGGGAGTCCTCTGCCTATTGGCCAGCTTTCTAGACTCTTTGGATGATCACTTCACTCCACAACAGCCATATCAAGGGAAGAGGGAGTACAAAGAATAATGTGCCAGCTCTTACTTTGTTTTAACGGAGAAGGGACACATCACACTTCCACTCACATTTTATTAGACACGTGAAAACATATTGCCAGCTTTAATTTCAAGGGAGAAAGAAAATGCTATTCTCTTAGATATCCAAAAGGAGAGAATAACCAGAAATGTCCACCAAGCAATAAAATCCACCATTCAGATGTACACATTGAAATCCATGTGAAAAGCTGTGCAGCCTGTTAGGTAAGAATATGGGTTCAGGGTCCGAGTTCTGGATTTGAATCCTGGTTTTGCCACTTGGTCCCTCTGTTGCTTTGGGCTCTTTAGAGTCTCAAATTTCCTTACCTCTAAACTGGAGACAGTGGAGTGCCTGGGTGGCTTCAGTCGGTTGAGCATCCGACTTCAGCTCAGGTCCGGATCTCACCATTCATGAGTTTGAGTCCCAGGCTGGGTTCAGTGCTGACAGCTCAGAGCCTGGAGCCTGCTTCAGATTCTGTGTCTCCCTCTCTCTCTGTCCCTGACCTACTCGCATTCTGTCTTCGTCTCTCTCAAAAATAAACATTAAAAAAAAAAATTTTAATGGAGACAGTAATCATTTCCATTGAGGAAGATACTTAAGAAAATAGAGAGCAGCTAACATAGGTTTACCATATAATAAGCACTAAAACATTGACTTTATTTTATTATGTTTTAAAATCAGATTTTATCCAGTTTAAAAAAACTCCAGAACACTGTTGGTAATACATGCACATGAACAACACAAACCCACAATAAAACACATAGAAATAAGTTAATCTGAACAACTGCACTCTCCATCAACATTTCCGACAACAAGGCTGAAGTTAACACTCCAAATCCAGGTTAGAACTCACCAGTGAGGAAGTAAGAAAGAAAGTGGAGGACATAACTTTGGGACAACAGATGGGGCAGAAATATCATCACATAAATTATGAGAAAATTGGTTGTTTAAAAATTTGTAAAAACTAGGAGAGAGAAGTCATTGATCCTTCAGAATTGGGTGAAAGGTGTGTAAGATTCAAGAGTAAACTCCAGAATCAAAGTTTTTGCTCTTAGGATCCATAAAATTTCGTAGTCTTGGGGCCAGCAGATCCGTCACAGACAAGAAGCCACTCTACTGAAAAGCCTTCCCAGCGCCCCCTTCACATCCTTGTTCCTCAGGCTGTAGATGAAGGGGTTCAGCATAGGAGTGACCACGGTGTACATCACCGAGGCCACTGAGACTTTCTTGGGGGAGTGAGTCACTGCAGAAGTGAAGTAAACTCCAACACCTGTCCCATAAAATAAAGAAACCACTGAGAGGTGAGACCCACAGGTGGAAAATGCTTTTTGCCTTCCCCCAGCTGAAGACATCTTCCTTATGGATGAAGCAATTCGTGAGTAGGAGAAAAGGATCCCGACAAGGGGAAAAACACCTAGCACACCAGTCATAAAGTATATCAATGTGCGGTTCAGGAAGGTGTCAGAGCAGGCCAACTTGAGAATCTGTGTCAGTTCACAGAAGAAATGTGGAATTTTGAGATCTCCACAGAATCTCAGATGCATCATCAGAAAGATATGAAGAAGGGAGGTCATGACACCAATAAACCAGGTAACAAAAACCAGCAGGCCACAGAGGGGTGGGTTCATGATGACCATGTAGTGCAGGGGGTGGCAGATGGCCACAAACCGGTCATAGGCCATCACGGTCAGGAGGAGAGTGTCCAGGATAGGAAAAAACATGGAAAAATAGACCTGAGTGAGGCAGTCCATATAAGAGATGGCTTTGTTCTCTGTGTGGATGCTCACCAGCATCCTGGGCACGATGGTGGAGCTGAAACTGATGTCGACCAAGGACAAGTTGGAGAGGAAGAAGTACATGGGTGTGTGGAGGTGGGGGTCAGAGCAGATGGCCAGGATGATGAGCAGGTTCCCAAGCACAGTGATCAGGAACATGGACAGGAACAGCCCAGATATGAAGGGCTGCAGTTCTGGATCCTCAGAGAACCCAAGGAGGATGAACTCTAAAATTCCTGTTTGGTTTCCTGCTTCCATGTACCTGATATACCTATGAAGGAAGACACAAGAGCAAAGTCGATTAGTAGCAAACCAGCACCCTCCATGTAATAAAAATGTTGACCATGGCTTTCGCTCAAGTCATTTATGAAGTCAGTCATTCTGTCTAAATGGTTCTCCATTCATTTATAAGTGAAACCCAAAAACATGGAGTTTCTTGTGGCAACCACCCTTTTTTTTTTTTTAATTTTTTTTTCAACGTTTATTTATTTTTGGGACAGAGAGAGACAGAGCATGAACGGGGGAGGGGCAGAGAGAGAGGGAGACACAGAATCAGAAACAGGCTCCAGGCTCCGAGCCATCAGCCCAGAGCCCGACGCGGGGCTCGAACTCACGGACCGCGAGATTGTGACCTGCGTGAAGTCGGACGCTTAACCGACTGCGCCACCCAGGCGCCCCATGGCAACCACCCTTCTTAAGCGACATAAGTCAGTCAGAGAAAGACAAATACCATATGATTTCACTCATATGTGGAATTTAAGAAACAAAACAAACGAGCAAAGGGAAAAAAAAGAGAGAGAGAGACAAACCAAGAAACAGACTCTTAACTATAGGGAACAAACTGAGGGTTGCCAGAGGGAGGTGAGGGGCGGGAATGGGTGATGATGGGGATTAAGGCACCCACCTGTGATGAGCACCAGGTATTGTAGGTAAGTGTTAAATTAGTAAATTCTTTAACTGAAACTAATATTACACTGTATGTTAACTAACTGGAATTTAAATAAAAACCTTAAAAAAGACCCTTTAGGGGCGCCTGGGTGGCGCAGTCGGTTAAGCGTCCGACTTCAGCCAGGTCACGATCTCGCAGTCCGTGAGTTCGAGCCCCGCGTCAGGCTCTGGGCTGATGGCTCAGAGCCTGGAGCCTGTTTCCGATTCTGTGTCTCCCTCTCTCTCTCTGCCCCTCCCCTGTTCATGCTCTGTCTCTCTCTGTCCCAAAAATAAATAAACGTTGAAAAAAAATTAAAAAAAAAAAGACCCTTTAAAAATCCATATTATGTGTGTCAACTATATTAAAAAAAAAAAATCCATTTTATAACACAACCAAAATGGAATCCTACAGAATAGGGTCTAGAATTCCCAATCACCTATCTTGAGCATCCATTCTTTTTTTTTTTTTTAATTTTTTAAATGTTTATCTATTTTTGAGAGACAGAGAGAGACAGAACATGAGTGGAGGAGTGGCAGAGAGAGAGGGAGACACAGAATCTGAAGCAGGCTCCAGGCTCTGAGCTGTCAGCACAGAGCCCGACATGGGGCTCCAACTCAGCAACCGTGAGATCATGACCTGAGCTGAAGTCAGACACTCAACCAACTGAGCCACCCAGGCTCCTCAAACATCCAATCTATTTTATTTTTAAAAATGATTTCTTTTTAAATATTTTATTACTTTTTAAGTAATCTCTATACCTAACGTGAGGCTCGAATTTGCAACCTTGAGATCAAGACTCATGTGCTCTGCCAGCTGAGCCAGCCAGGCGCCCCATAAGCATCCATTTTATAATAGTCCTGTCATATGGTCATGGAGCTTCAAAGTAGGACACAGCAACATCACATACCTCCTGGTAGGAGGTACCGGAAAGGACCCAACGTTACTTCTGTGGGATTCCTCCCAAAGATGCAGGACTTCAATCTAAAGACTAGGAAGCATCAGACAAACCCAAATTGAGAGACATTCTACACAGTTTCTGACCTGTGCCCTTCAAAAATGCCAGTGTCATCAAATACAAAGAGAGTCTAGGAACAGTTCCCAATTAAAGGAAGTTTAAGAGACATGTCAACAGCTCAGTAGGTTAAGCATCTGACTCTTGATTTCTGCTCAGCTCATGATCTCATGGTTTGTGAATTCAAACCCCAAGTTGAGCTCCAGTGTGGGGCCTGCTTGGGATTCTCTCTCTCTTCCTCTCTCTCTGTCCCGCTCCTCTCTCAAAATAAATAAATAAACTTAAAAAGAAAGGGAGCGACATGACAACCGAATGAAATGCATGATCTTGGATTTTCTTTTGCTACAGATGACATTCTTAGGATAACCATCAAAAGTTGTAACTGTCAACATTCTGTGAATTTGAGAGTAGCATTAGATTAATGCAACTATCTTGATTTTGATCATTGTGCCGTGGCTATGTGAAGAAAATATCTTTGATTTTAGGAAATAACCAATGAGCTAGTGGTAAAGAGGTACCACATTTGTAGTGCACCTTTCTCACAAATGGCTCTGAAAACACACGCACACACGAAGACAAAAGCAGAGAGAAAAATGGACAAAGAAAAAAGTAAAGATAGCAAAATTTAACTTTGGGGGGATCTGGTAAAGGATATACATAGGAGCTATTTATATTGCTCTGTCGACTTTTCTGTAAATCTGAAAGGAGGTCATAATTAAAAGTTAAAAAGTAGCATTTTCACACAATGCTGAGTGGGAAAAAAAAGGAAGAGAATCCATCCATAAGGTGCTGTCAGGAAAGAGTCAGACTTCTAACACTACACTTCACCCTCCCCTAGAAACTTCAGTCAGAGGGATCCGTCTGAAGTGGTCCTGAGTGAATTGTATTCTGGGTCTCAGGTGGAAGCAAACACAAATCTTCTCTGGAAGGTGCTTTCATCTGAGGATGTCTGCCTCTGTGCCCACAAGGGAGGCTGGTCTGAGATTTTCTTTCTTTTCCAGGCATGCCTGCATATGCTGGTTCCTTCCGAATTCCCAGTTTTATTAAGCACCACACTGGCCTTTCACTCCTGAAGAACCAACACTTTTGCCTTCTTGGGAATTCTAAAAATGCTGTGATTCTTCCCACAGCCATGTAAGTACGTGTAAGCCTGTGTAAGTACTGCCCTCTCTGCTGGGGCCTTTGTCTTCCCGTGATCATTCCTATCCTTATTTCTCGGATGAACCATCTCTTCCTCAGAGGAGCCTTCCCTGAACCCTCCCTGACCACCAGGCATAGTCCCCTAATCCACGCCTTTATAGCGTCCTGCATTTTGCTTCACTGCACAGATCATAGCTATATATATTTGCATTTACTTATGGAACTATTTGATTAATATCTGTCCCTCTCACCACCGAATTTGAAATCACACAAGTTCAGATCACATGTTATAAAATTTGCTTTTCGGGGTGCCTGGGTGGCTCAGTTGGTTAAGCGGCCGACTTCGGCTCAGGTCATGGTCTCGCGGTCTGTGAGTTCGAGCTCCGCGTTGGGCTCTGTGCTGACAGCTCAGCGCCTGGAGCCTGTTTCGGATTCTGTGTCTCCCTCTCTCTGACCCTCCCCCATTCATGCTCTGTCTCTCTCTGTCTCAAAAATAAATAAAACGTTAAAAAAAATTAAAATTTGCTTTTCCTCATATCCCCAGTGCTTTGTACTCAAAGAGTATGGAGGTAGGATAAAAGTTGAAACAAAAAATGGTCATATGTAATACAAACAAGAAATCTATAGGCTAATCTCACACTGACTATAGAAGCAACAAACTGAAAAAGGAGTAAGATGAAGCATGAATTAGATAACTCAGAAAATAATTATAGCTTCAAAACAAATCAAAATACATTTAATAAAATCTAACCATTACTGATGGGAAGGGAACAAAGTAAAATTTTAGTCACATGGCATAGAAGGATACTGCCGAAAGGTGATAAAGAATAGCTATGTTAATTTTTTTTAATTTATTTTGAGAGAGAGAGAGAGAGAGAGGGAGAGAGAGAGAGAATCCCAAGAGACTTCCAAGCAGGCTCCTTGCTGTCAGTACAGCAACAGGGCTCGATCTCACAAACCATGAGATCATGACCTGAGCCGAAATCAAGAGCCACCCAGGAACCCCAGGAATAACTGTTAAAGCAAGTGTTAATCCAAGATCCATTATTAAACCCCAAACAAGGAAACAAAAAAAAAAAGGGGGAAATGAAATTATGCCTCCTGTTATAATGATTTAACATTGTTTAAATGTTCAAAAGAAATAATTCAATAATTCAATAATTATTCAATAATTCAATAATTCAAAAGAAATGCCATAAGACAGAAGAGTGAATAAAATATAATATTAGGAAATCAAAAGCAAATCTGGTTACTATCAGCTGCCGATGTGACTGTCTGCTTAGAACACCAAAGAAAGTCAACTTAAACACAATTAGAATTAATCAGTGTCATTAGCTTCTTATGTACCTCTAAACCATCATTAAGAAAAATAAGAGACAGATCTATTCACAGTCACAATGACGACACAGATAACACCTGGCTCAGAGTGGGCATTCAGTACCTACTCCATGTATCACAGAGTGTATACAACCTGGGAGAAACCCCATGATGGCAGTGGGGTGGAGAAGGAGATACCTTGCTGGAGCGGAGATTCTCCAATTACTGCATGCATTAGAATCACCTGGAGGACTTACTAAAGCAGATTTCTGGGTCTCCCCCCAGAGTTTCTGTCAGCAGGTCTTGGGCAGGGCCTGGGAATATGTATTTCTAACAAGCTCCCAGAAGATACCACTGCTGCTCCAGGAATCCCACTTTGAGAACTACTGCACTAGAGGAGAACAAGGAAGGTGCAAGCAGGTGCGTTAGAAACTGTTAAGAGTCCATTTGAGGGAGTGTCAACGCCAGTGACACTGAGAAAATCACTAGTTTCTAGAATGAGGGCACCTTAGAGCTGGAGGTGACAGAAAAAGCAGCAATGGAATCTAAAAAGACATAAATAATCAGAGAGATAAATTCCAGAAGTTAAAAATAAAAAGGGCCATGAGTCATCATCAACCCTGTTACCTCCTTCCCCATCCCATTTTTATCCTCCTTTCATACCTAGTACTCACTAGGACAGTGTGACTCAATTGGCTGGCATTGCATAAAGGAATACTTGTGCAACGTCTTTCTCCTCTGTTGGATGCTGAAGATAGACTCTACCAGAGAATGACGGGGAGATGGAACCTGTCACCAGATCATGTCCGTGAGAGAGGCAAGGTGTGGTCTCCTCCTGGTCAGGCGTCACTGCACTGTGGGTGAGGG